CATGCTTTTATTTTCTGGAGTTGTTTATAGAGAACACACCCACACACACACACACACACACACACACACACACACACACACACACACACACACACACACACACACACACACAACAGCAGCAACAGCAGAAGCAGCAGCAGGAAAGCGAGGAAATTCGCTGCACAGTCCTGCTAATAGAAGTGTAGCTGACAAGGAAAACAAAGCAATAGATATTGTATTAATTGGTGAAAAGCTGAACACTTGAAACACGACTTCACCCAAAGCTAAGGCGAGCTCTTACCAGTTCACTCAGTAAGGTCGTCAGTTACTCTGGGTCGGGAGTGAACGTGGAAAGCCACTATGAAAAAGAACAGTGGGTTACGAGGCGTGGAAGGTCGCTTCGTCAACTTAGTCAACTTAGCCTCCGCGTGAACTGGTGGTTTAAACCACCAGTAAGTACTTCCTAAAGTTGCGCTAGTTAACAAGCCAAGCCACAATTTTAGGAAACGTACTGGCCGCTACAGGAGCGCCCAAATTCATCCAACTAGAAACATTTCTACTCTATCTTTTTCCGCCCCCGGTAGCTGGGCCAAGTACTGGTGGTTTAAGAAGAAGCTGGTTAAACTGCCAGTACATGGGCCCAGCCTTGCTGAAAAGAAAACTCGTCGCCTACAAAATTTTTGGAGACCCAGCGCCGTAAGATAAATCGAATCGGCAGCGGGCGGCCTCCGAAAAGGGCCCGCGGCCGATAGCTGGATGTACTGGTGGAAGAAAACTCGGCGCCTACGAAATTTATTGGAGGCCCAGCGCAGTAGATAAATCGAATCGGTGGCGGGCGGTCTCCTCCGAAAAGCGCCCGCGGCCGATAGCCGGATGTACTGGTGGTATAACCCCAAACAGAATCGCCATATGCGTGGACAACATCTAACTGAATTCAGAAACCTCTCCGATGGCTGCCGCTGTGAGTGGGCAGACTACCATCTTCACCCCAAATGGAATATAGGGTCAGCATCTTTCTTTTTTTTTTTTTTTTTTTTTTTTTTTTTTTTTTTTTTTTTTTGAAAAGCCCTTGTGCAACACCTCTATCCCGGTGGTGGTAAGAGAACCACCGGAATTGAGGCTTTGCCTGACGGGCTGCTCCATCTATTGATGGGGAGCATCGCCTGCCGGAAACCGGGTCCAGTGACCCTTGATACAAAATCGAGGTTTTTGGATCCTCGAATAAAGGGTCAGTATCTAAGTATGCAAATATTGCGAAGGCCAATTTCAGGTCAGATACGGATACTGGGACGATCGCGTACGAGCTAGGGAAGGAAGAAGGCCATACGCCTGGCTAAATCCAGGCGCAGAGAATATTCTTGAATTTCATCAGTGCTACCTGGTTGGTGGGCAGACGGTACATAGTGCATACCTACCAGTCTAGATTCAGACGGTGCAAAGTGCACACCTACAAGTCTAGATTCAGTGCATACCTACCAGTCTAGATTCAGACGGTGCAAAGTGCACACCTACAAGTCTAGATTCAGTGCGCAAGTACAAGTCTAGATTCCGTGCACAAGTACAAGTCTAGATTCACAGGTTGTGAGTTCAAATTCTGTCGATAGAATGCTCGCAGCTACCCTCTTATACTTACAAGTTAAAAACCAACAGGGCAAAAATAAAAGAAACAAACAAATAGAAGAAAATAAAATATAAAAGAGGAGGAGGTAAAAAAAAAAAAGGCAAAAAGAGTTTGAACTTTAAAAGTTAAAACACATTTGGGGGGAAATAAAAAGACAAAAAAAGTTAAGATTAAAAAAACTCACTGGCTCGTTGGCTCAAGAGTTCTCATAAGAACAAAAAAAAAAGAAATTATAGCTAGGTTACCAGAGTGATCCGCGACAATTTGCCCGGCCTGACCCAAAAAAAAAAAAAAAAAAAAAAAAAAAGGTAAAGAATTTCAATGTGGCACTAGAGGCAATAGATAAATAGATAGCTACATAGATATAATATATATACATATATACAGATCTGTTTGTGACGATATATACTACGACTTCGCTAGCTTCCTGCTACGTTTTTTTCTGGTCAGGTCGAGCGGCAGTGGTCGGGGCCGTTACTAGGCGGCCATGCTGTGCCTCTAGTGCCAGCGGCGTGTCTGGAGTGTATTTTTTGGCTGTG